TGAAACACTCGAAGGCCAAAAGTTAAGCGATCGCCTTCAAGAACGTTGATGATCACCTGGCTCGAGGTAACATTTACCTCGACTCCCATGGACACGAGTCATTGGATCCGTGAAGAAGCCAAGGTGCGTTATCAGTGAAGACGACACATCGGCTTCGACATGTCCGTTGCAAGTGTTGTCTGCCGCACTGGAGTCGTCGACGTTGATGTCCTGCAGTGAGGATTTGCCGTCTGGCTGGGCCCCTGCAGAGATGCCGAGGATGCGAAAACGCTGTCGGAACGACCTCGTTTTTTCTGCTCCGACATGTTGTCTGCTGCTAGTGTCCACTGGAGTCGTCGACGTTGATGTCCTGCGGTGAGGATTTGCCGTCTGGCTGGGCCCCTGCAGAGATGCCGAGGATGCGAAAACGCTGTCGGACCGACCTCGTTTTTTCTGCTCCGACATGTTGTCTGCTGCTAGTGTCCACTGGAGTCATCGACGTTGATGTCCTGCAGTGAGGATTTGCCGTCTGGCTGGGCCCCTGCAGAGATGCCAAGGATGCGAAAACGCTGTCGGACCGACCTCGTTTTTTCTGCTCCGACATGTTGTCTGCTGCTAGTGTCCACTGGAGTCGTCGACGTTGATGTCCTGCAGTGAGGATTTGCCGTCTGGCTGGGCCCCTGCAGAGATGCCGAGGATGCGAAAACGCTGTCGGACCGCCCTCGTTTTTCTGCTCCGACATGTTGTCTGCTGCTAGTGTCCACTGGAGTCATCGACGTTGATGTTCTGCGGTCAGAAGTGGCCGTGTGGCTGGGCCCCTGCAGAGATGCCGAGGATACAAAGACGCTGTCGGACCATCCTCGTTTTTCTTCTCCGACATGTTTTTTTCTGCTGCCGCTAGTGTCTTCACCACTATAGTCATCGACGTTGATGTTCTGCAGTCAGAATTGGCCGTCTGGCTGGGCCCCCGCAAAGATGCCGAGGATGCGAAAACGCTGTCGGACCGTCCTCATTTTTTTGTGCTCCGACATGTTGTCTGCTGCTAGTGTCCACTGGAGTCATCGACGTTCATGTTCTGCGGTCAGAATTGGCCGTGTGGCTGGGCCCCTGCAGAGATGCCGAGGATACAAAGACGCTGTCGGACGGTCCTCGTTTTTTCTGCTCCCACATGTTTTTTTCTGCTGCCGCTAGTGTCTTCACCACTATAGTCATCAACGTTGATGCTCTGCATTCAGAATTAGCAAAGTGACTGGGCCCCCACACAGATGCCGAGTATGCGAAAACGCTGTCGGACTGTCCTCAAAGATTTGCATCTGTTGCCACGGATGCGACTGCCTGTGAGAGTTGCTGTCTGGAACCTGTGTCGAGGATGCGTGTTTCGAATCCAAATGTCTTGGCGAGTGGTTGCAACGGATAGGCGGCCACTACGAAGAAGGTCTATGACGTGGATGGTTTGGTGATAACGCCGCCATAAGTTCCATAATGTGTTACTGAGGACGTTTAATTGACGTCCATACCCGTGAAGATCAGGGGGAGAATAGGTCTTCAGCAACCCATGCTTGGTGTAAAAGGCGACTGTGCTTGTCGTAAGAGGCGACTAACGGGATCATGTGGTCAGGCTCGCTGGCTTGGTTGATGCATGTCATCGTATCCCGACTGCGTGGATTTCTGCTCATGATGTCAATCAACAGATTGTCTGATCCATAGAGCTGGGATAGTGCTGAGTGCGGCGTTAAACAGCAAACAAACAAACAAACAAACAAAGTTCAAGAGAAAAACAGTTGATTGAATAAACATTGCCCTGTTTATTGCGACAACAAATCTTCACTCAAGCAGTTTGTTAAATCGACGCTCGAAGACTGCCTACGGTAAACGCCCCGCCCCCCCCCCCCCCCCCCCCCCCCCACACACACACACACACACTCCCCCCACCCACCCACCTTCCATCCAACAAAGTCCGTAAATTATTTATTATCTCTGCAATTCAGTTCATACACTGCAGTTGTTACTGCCATGTCTGAGAGATAACTCACACTTTACACCAATATTGACTGTTTTCAACGTCTCCAAAGACATGAAACACGAGATAAACGCTTCAAACTATTATCTTCGTCATTCTTGTGTTTCATATGCTACGGTGATAAGGCATACACTCAATTATCAAAGTCAAACATGAGGCCAAATACCTTACACATTATGTGAATTTGGTAATTTCATTTAGTGTTAGACATCGACATCCATTCGCTCTTCAGTTATTTCTTTATAGTGTGATTTCACCATTTTGTACTGTTGTTTTTAAGAGAATCTAAACACGAAATTGTTTTTCAATATTAATATTTGATTAATATGGTAATCAGATGGTAACTGGAGTATTTGGTTGTATACTCTTTAAGAAAGGAAAGGCAAAGCCAGATTTGTGTGAGGTAGGAAAATATATTTATACGAGGAACCGTGCAAGGTGTTGGTATGCGGTTGACGTCGTCGTAGGCGTCTATTCAAATCATCCCCCAGGTGTTCTATCGGGTTCAAATCCGGGGATCTGGAGGGCCAGGGGCGAACATCAACGTTGTTGTGTAGACAGGCTCTTGTGATCCATGCTGTATGTGATCGAGCGTTGTCCTGCTTGAATGCACCGTTGCTATTGGCTGCAGTTGGGAGGACGTCTGGTTGGAGAATTCCGTTGATGTATCGTTGAGCCGTAACATTGCCATCTTCCCGAGGCAAGGGAGTTAACTGACTTTAAAAGTCCAGTTTCCACCCTTGCCGAACTAGGCTGGAATAACTGGGCTCGATCGTTGCGCCACCAGTGGCTATTACCAATTATGTCCCTTCTAAGCCTCCCCTATGGACCAATCAGATTCCACCTCTCGTATCACTTGCGTTTGCTTCACACAAAATGGTGGCGCCCAGTCCGGACGATCTGATCGATAATCATGATTTATATTGTAATAAAACGGATCTTACATCGCGAAATGCATCAAATCACGTGAGCACCTTGATTAAAAAACATGAAAGGATTTGGAAAATATCTGCTGACAACGAATTGGCGATGCACATGCTTTGCAAACCCTGCAATCGATCGAAACCTGAACAAGAGTTTACGAACCGGATTTTGATTTCGGTGCGCGATTTTGATTGGACTATGCATAGACTCGTTAGTCCAGACAAAACGTAACTCCACAATACCAGCCTAGTTCGCCAAGGGTGGAGACTGGTTTTTTATAGTCAGTTAACTCCTTTGCCTCGGGAAGATGTAAGATTGCCTGGGATATGTACCAAACCTGTCCTGCCATGATGAGAGATAGCCGCCCACATCATAACGCTACCCCCATAAAAAAATGTCCACATCCTGTACGCAGTTTCCGGCGTAACGTTCTCCCCGATGTCTGCAGATCCATGCTCTTCCATCCCCTCGACGGAAAAGAAATCTTAATTCGTTGCTGAACCAGACATCTCTCCATGGCAGTTGAGGCCATACCCTGTGTTGACGACAGCAATGCATTCGTTGTTGACGATGTTGTCGACTCAATATGACGCGTTGTCCTGACCGCAAATAGACCTGCTGCTCTTAAAACAGTTTCGTACGGTCTGGTCGGAGATTCTGCGCAGCTCGGGTATTTGGGATGCGGTTGAGGTGGCTGTGGTCGTCCTTTCACGTAGGTGGCGCAGTCGGATGTAGCGATCTTTAGCGGGGATGGTCCCTCTTGGTCGTCCCGACCTTGGCCGATCACGTGTTGACCCATGCTGTTGAAACCAATCCCCTAGCCTTGTGATATTGATGATGCTGGGCGCTACATTGAAAACCCTGGCTACAGCTGATCAGGATTCCCCGGCCTGCAAGCGGCCTATGAAGTTGTCTCTTTGCACTTCTGTTAATCTTGGCATGTTGTTGAACTGTCACTGTTCGACTGACGCAGATGCCAGGCAATCAAAACCTCTGCACTTTAATACCGTTCATAGTGCTGCTGCACGTGCAGTACGTGCAGCTTCATGGCCCTTTTGTTAATGCAAAGGGTGTTTTTTTCCGAATCGTACTTGTTTCCCTACTTATGGTTTTCATGTCCTTGTTGTGATCGTTTTGACTAAGGAAATTTGTCACTGACACTTTAACACATGACACCTCTTCATTTTGCACCTCTTGGTCTGCTCATTTTGCTTATATGGCCAAAAGTATCCGTATTTCGTTCCTTTTATTGAAGAATATATTTCTCTTGCTTCATGTTTATTGTTTCACCTGGATTCCGAGTTATTTTTTCTGAAGCACATTTTCAATAGATCTGGAAAGTGAACGTTGTGGGAAAATTGCGCTCGCTCGACACCTCCGACTATAAAATTCCACAGAAATGTGGGATATTAAATATCCTATCTTTGTTTTTGTTTGTTTGTTTGTTTGTTGTTTAACGCCGCACTCAGCAATACTCCAGCTGTATGGCGGCGGTCTGTAAATAATGGAGTCTGGTCAAGATAATCAAGTGTTTGACATCATGAGCATCGATCCACGCAATTGGGATCGATGACATCAACCATGTCAGCGAGCCTGACCACCCGATCCTGTTAGTCGCCTCTTCAAATTGAAGTGAATGGTTTACTCTCCGATGTGTTAAGTCCATTTCGCGTAGATCTGTGTAAACCCCATATCTCCAACCCCCCCTCCTTATGTTTTTGGTCGGCCGATTGACGTCACCCAATGAGTGTAAATATTGTAATAACGGGATGTGCTGCCGTTCGCTTTATTTCAAAAAGAATTTTAAAAGAATAGATAATCTGTGCCATTATCTTGATAATTCCATAAGTATACTTCAGCCAAATAAAGGAAGCTTTTTCGCATCCTTCATAGTATCATTTGGAGACGAAATGACATTTTGTTGTTGTTTGTAAACAATGCACTCTGCAATATTCGGGAATATGAATTGCGTAGATCGATGCGCATGCATCACTGGATTGTCTGGCCCAGGCGCGACTATTTACAGACTGTCGTCACAAAGCTGAAATAAACAACACACAAACAAACAAGCAAACACTCACTCACTCACTCACGGAGCGCCTGCGGGGATATTAATTTCGATCAAAACTGTAATCCTTCCTGATAACGCATAACCCAACAGGCAGGCATACAGAGACGGCCGCGTGTGCAGCAACGATGTGGACGGTGGTGCTTGCTGCTCTTCTCTGTCCCCCTCTGATGTTTCTGCTTGGTGCATCAGAAGGAAGTGATATACAAGAATGGGAATTTAAGACAAGCAAACAACCTCATGGCTTCAAGTCAACTGTGTTAAAGCGACACCAGGCGGTCTCTCTGCTGATGTGCAGTGTTAAATGCAGTCTGCTAACTGCGTGTGTCACATTTCAGCACAAACGGTGGAAGTCATCCTGCACTGTGTACCGCCGCTTCCGAGATAATGACGTCATGACTGTGACGACATCGTCTGTCCCTGGAGTTATATACTTGACAGCGAATGGTACGTAAAGCTGTTTTAAAATAATTGTGTTCTTGTTAAAACTTGAGCCTGCTACCCGTGAAGATCCGGGGTAGAATAGGTCTTCAGCAACCAGTGCTTGCCGTTAAAGGCGACTATGCTTGTCGTAAATCATATTCCTGCTATATGACGGCGGTCTGTAGATAATCGAGTCTGAGCCAGACAATCCAGTGATTGATATCATGAGCATCGATCCACGCAATTAGGACCGATGCCTCTTACGACAAGCATGAACGCTTTTTACGACAAGCATGCTGTTAAAGGCGACGATGCTTATCGTAAGAGGCCACTAACGGGATCGGGTGGTCAGGCTCGCTGACTTGGTTGATGCGTGTCATCGTATCTCAATTGCGTGGAGGGACGGTCGGGTAGCCTCGTGATTAAAGGGTGCTCTCGTCACGCCGAAGACACGGGTTTGATTCCCGACATGGGTACAATGTGTGAAGCCCATTTCTGGTGTTCCCCGCCGTGATATTGCTGGAATATTGCTAAAAGCGGCGTAAAACCATACTCACTCACTCACTCAACTGCATGGATCGATGTTCATGATATCAATCGCTGGATTGTCTGGTCCAGACTCGTTTATTTACAGACCGCGGTCGTATAGCTGGAATATTGCTGAGTGCGACGTTAAAGATTGTGAGTGAGTTGGGGTTAACGCCGCTGTTAACAGTATTCCAGTTATATCGCGGCGTGTCAGCTTAATGTGGGAGGAGAGCCCGAAGTGATGCAGGTCTTAGACGTTTACCACTTCAGTGAAACCCACGAGCACGGGTATGGGGCTGACAAACCTAGAAACATAAGTGGGGCGAACCGGGATTCGAACCCACAATCATAGGTTTCTGGCGTGCCCAAGGGACGCAACTCTGTACAGGGAATCGCGGCGCCTCAGACGACTGGGCCACCCGTGCCCCCGCTACGCTAAAGAACAAACAAGCAAGTAATATTTTATTAATAATAATATCATTTTGACAAGCACACAACTAAATGTTATGGAGCTTTAACGGGGGCACGAAAGATGGTTGTGTTCAATTTGATTGGTTTATACACTTCTGGGGCGGTCGGGTAGCCAAGTGGTTAAAGCGTTCGCTCGTCACGCCGAAGACCCGGGTTCGATTCCCGACATGGGTACATTGTGTGAAGCCCATTTCTGGTGTCCCCCGCCGTGATATTGCTGGAATATTGCTAAAAGCGGCGTAAAACCATACTCACTCACTCACTGCTGTTTCAGCTCCCTGCAAGGGCCAACACTACGGCAAAAGGTGTTCCAATAATGCTGAATGTTTGGATCACTGGACACAGTGCATTGACCAAGTATGCAGATGTCAACCAGGCTACAGCTTCAACCCAGGGTCCTGTTCATGTATCGAAGGTACAAAGGACATCTTGTTAATGTAATTGTTTAACAACGCCCTCGGCCATATTCCAGCTTCATGACCGCGTAGTGCGTTGTTAAACAATTACATCACGCACTCAGCGATATTTCAGCTTCATGACCGCGTAGTGCGTTGGTAAACAATTACATCACGCACTCAGCGATATTCCAGCTTCATGACCAGGTAGTGCGTTGTTAAACAATTACATCACGCACCCAGCGATATTCCAGCTTCATGACCACGTAGTGCGTTGTTAAACAATTACATCACGCACTCAGAGGATATTCCAGCTTCATGACCACGTAGTGTGTTGTTAAACAATTACATCACGCACCCAGCGATATTCCAGCTTCATGACCGCGTTTTGAGAAGATCAAAATATCAACATAATCAACACTGAAAATGACAATCATACCGCGACCGAGAATGACGTCAGAGCCCCCCAAAGTTGGGTGTGGTACAAAACTCGAGCTTTCAGAATCATGGACAATAGGCAGAGTACATAAACAATCGCTCACGTTAAATAACAAGTCATTAGTAGCGTGTGTGACCACCAAATGCCTCAATACACGCAAAAACTCTTCGACGCACAGAAAAAGTCAGTCGTCTGATGAGGTCACTTGGGATTTGAGGCCATTCTTCTTGGAGGGCCAAGATCAGTTCTTGCCGGTTGGCTGGAGAGTGTGGTCGTTGTCGAAAACGACGATCCATCAAGTCCAAGAGGTGTCCTATGGGGGACATGTCGGGTGAGCGTGCAGGCCACGGCAGGTCGTTGACGTTGTTGGCTGCGAGGAAGTTAGTGACAATTCTGGCTGTATGGGCTCTAGCGTTGTCATGCTGATAAATGACACCACGTGGCTGCTGTTGGAGAAATGGTAGGACAACTGGACGAAGAATGTTATCCATGTAACGCTGAGCTGTCAAGTTTCCGTCAACGATGACCAGCGGTGTCCTCTCCTGCCCACAGATCCCTCCCCACACCATGACACTCCCTCCACCATATGGTACGACCTCCTGCACGCAGCACGCCGCCGTTCGTTCACCCCTTCGGCGGTAAATACGTTGTCTTCCATCAGCCCTAAACATACAGAATCGACTTTCGTCAGTGAAGACAACCCTCTGCCAGTCACGTCGTTGCCAACGTCGTACAGTCCGGTCCAAACTCAATCGCAGACGACGATGTTGCGCTGTCGATAGCTGTCCTCTGTATGGTCCAAAAGACCTCATTCCATGAGCCCTGAGTCTCCTGGCCACTGTCTGTCGACTAACCCTGTGACCTAAGACATTTGTCGCCGATGACGTCACTGTCAGGAAGCGATTTCGGAGGTGCAAGGTACGCAAGTACGGGTCATCATGGGGCGTGGTCACCCTGGGTCTGCCTGTTCTTGGTCTGTCAGCGGTCCGCTCTGTCTGTCTGTAACGTTGCATCAAGTTGGTAACGGCAACACGGGAGCAACCGAAGGTTCGTGCAATATGGGCGTGGGTGGCTCCCATCTGTACCATACCCAAGGCTCGTTCACGTTGTTCGACTGTGAGTCGTGGCATTTCTTTTGTGGTTTTTTTATCACTGTGAATGTCTGACTTGCCGTTGCAATCGTTTTATACCCTTACCCGCACGTGCATTTGCAGTTGTCCGTGGTGCACGTGTTTTTCACTTTCTCGCGTGTTATCTCGCAAACATGTAACAGACGATTAACATTTTCTGCATCCACTATTGTTGTATTTATGTGTTCTAGATAGACTTCATCGAAAAAAAATTTATACTTTGTCTGAAATTTATATTTTCAGTTGGTAAAGTTTCATTTGGACGTCAGTTTATATAGTCATGATCAATGGTAATTTACTACCACCGGACCCGTGAAGATACGGGGTAGAATAGGTTTTGGTTCAGCAACCCTTGCTAGTCATAAAAGGCGACTAACGGGATCGGTTGGTCAGGCTCGCTGACTTGGTTGATGTGACCCGTGAATATTCCGGGGAAGAATAGGTCTTCAGCAACCCAAACTTGCCGTAAAAGGCGACTATGCTTGTCGTTAAAGGCGACTAACGGGATCGGGTGGTCAGGCTCGCTGACTTGGTTGATACATGTCATCGATCCCAATTGCGTGGATCGATGCTCATGCTGTCCATTACTGGATTGTCTGGTCCAGACTTGATTATTTACAGACCGCCGTCATATAGCTGGAATATTGCTGAGTGCGGCGTTAAACAACCAACCAACCATCATGATATCAATCACTGAATTGTCTGGTCCAGACTCGATTATTTACTGACCGCCGTCATATAGCTGGAATATAGCTGAGTGCGGCGTTAAACAACAAACCAACCAACCGACTTAGTTGATGCATGTCATCTTATCCTATTACGGGATAGATGCTCATGAGGTGAATCACTGGATTGTCTGGCCCATACTCGATTTCTTACAGATTGCCTTCATATAGTCTGCAACCTCGGGGTATCGTGGTACTTGTCACACATGTACGCTAAACGGAACAAAATGCATTCACTAACCTTTATGATTATTCGTGTTCTCCATATCAGATGTCATTTATTTTATCTAACAATGCATATTCTACTGATAAAAGTTCATAATTTACATTAGTAGCTCCGAGTAAAAGCTGGGCCTCGCGCTCTGTTTCACAACGGAGAGAACTCCATCGTATCGCGGTACAGAGAAAAGTTGTGTATGGAGGTCCGAATTGTACAAACAGAGGACATAATTCTACCATTTGTTTGTTTCTACCAACCACTTGGTATGGTCATGACAGACATCAGTGATTTGTCCAGACAAGTCCAAAGACGGCACAAGTAAAATTCTACTTACTCTGTTATCAGTAATAGGTACGCAATGCATATTTGCCGAAAAGTAAGAGAACAATATTTAAAAATCAACAACAAAATATCAGAAATGATATTCTAAGATTGTTTTTATAAAAAAATGGAAGACAATAATTTGTCACAAAATGGAAAAATGTTTAATGTGAACAATACATATATAAAAAGCACTCCTCGTATGCCCAAAATATGTATTTATCTTTTGGCTACAAGTGAAGAACGTATTTCTTAGTTTGGCATTATGGCCCTTATGATCTCCCAATAGATTCTGGGCACAGAGCGGGAAAAAATGAGGGGGCTAACGTAACTTCCTTTACCTTATTAGTCGCCATGAATATGCAGATGATCTAGTTCAGGTCGATAGAGAAAGTTTACTTGGGGAACTGCGGGTTATATCGTTGGCCATTGACAGATGGGGTAAGGCAATATTAAAAAAGATGCCAGAAGTATGTGTAAACACATTAATAACTCCTTACCTACAGCAGACGGAACATTCCGAGGAAATTGAAATTGTTTACGAAGTGAGCACTTCCTGGTGACTGATTTGCATTAGAAGACAGCTGCTAAGAGGCGTGTCCCGCGTGAACTACCGGAAATCACAAGTGCGATACGATGAATGCCCATTCGTCCCCACTCGCCCCTTTCCGTAACCTGCAAGAAGACTCGTCCCCCTATCGATGATTGTTATGTGCGAAAATACGACAAACCAATCAGAATGCGCGTATGATTTCCAGTTCTTCGTCAAAGAATCCCTCAGAAATAATTTTTGATTTTACATATGTCTTGCATCTAAACATATACCAAAGACACAGTTAAATGTGTTCAATCATACTGTATAATTCGGTACGTCCCGATGTGCTTTAAATTGCATCTGAAATATATATAATATATGGGAAAATGTGTGAACCATTACGCAACGAGTTGACAATTGTTTTAGGTATGCCCGTTTGCGCTTAGACGGAACCCGGTCGCAAAAATGGCCACGAGAGGGGCACGAGTAAGCTGGAATATTGCTGAGTGCGGCGTTAAACAAGCAAGCAAACTCTAAGTTTAAACCATTCGTCTTTACAGTGTGTGCGGAGTACGGAACAACCAGCAGCCTTCTTTCCCATGGGTACTGCATCACAGGCTACAACGACGCCGTGTACGTGAGCGTGTCCTCCCCCGAGGGCTGCAGGAAGAAGTGCGTGAGGCAGAAATCCTTTCTATGCAAATCCTTCGAGATATGGTTGAATGGGTGTTATTTATCAAGGGTCACAAAACTCGATGTGGAAGCCAGGAAATGGAGGCTGTTTCATTCCTGCTCGTACTTTCAAAGAAACTGTGGGTAGACCCTTAATTATCCTCTGACGTTTGATACTTCACAGAGATGGAAGCAATCTCGGCATACAAACGTGTCGGGTTGAGGTTATCCCCAAGTGTGTTCTTCACACTTAGTTGGTTGGTTGGTTTGTTGTTTAACACCGCACTCAGCAATATTCCAGCTATATGACGGCGGTCTGTAAATAATCGAGTCTGAACCAGGCAATCCAGTGATTAATATCATGAGCATCGATCCACGCACTTGGGATCGATGACATGCATCTACCAAGTCATCGAGCCTGACCACCTAATCCCGTTAGTCGCCTTTTACGACAAGCATAGTGACCTTTTACGGCAAGCATGGGTTGCTGAAGACCTATTCTACCCCGGATCTTCACGGGTGTCGATCCACGTAAGTGGGATCGATAACATGCATCAACCAAGTCAGCGAGGCTGACCACCCGATCCCGATATATTCCTCTCTCACGACAATACACAACTGACTTTCATGAAATAAAACTCTTTTAATCATTAACGTTTCCATTCGAATATATAAAAAAACCGATTTTTTTAGCAGATACATGTGATAATTTATATGACGAAATAATCAGAGGACGTTTCTCTCCGAACAACTCCTGTTGAACTAGATTGTTTGGTCCAGACTCGGTAATTTACATATATCGCCGTCAAAAAGCGGTTGATTTGTTGTTTAACGCCGCACTCAGCAATATCCAGGCGATATGACGGCGGTCTATAGATAATCGAGTCTGAGCCAGACAATCCAGTGATTGATATCATGAGCTTTGATCCACGCAATTGGTTCGTTGGTTGGTTGGTTGCCTTTTACGACAAGCATAGTCACCTTTTACGGCAAGTATGGGTTGCAGAAGACCTATTCTACCCCGGCGTCTTCGCGGGCCTCCACGCAATTGGGATCGATGACATGCATCAACCAAGTCAGCGAGTCAGACCACCCGATCCCGTAAGTTGCCTTTTACGACAAGCATAGTCGCCTTTTACGGCAAGCATAGTCACCTTTTACGGCAAGTATGGGTTGCTGAAGACCTATTCTACCCCGGCGTCTTCGCGGGCCTCCACGCAATTGGGATCGATGACATGCATCAATCAAGTCAGCGAGCCTGACCGCCCGGTCCTGTTAGTCGCCTTTTGCATATCGTAAGAGACGACTAACAGGATCGGGTGGTCAGGCTCGCTGACTTGGTTGATGCATGTCGTATCTCAATTGCGTGGATCGATGCTCATGATGTCAATCATTGGATTGTCTGGTCCAGACTTGTTAATTAACAGACCGCCGTCATATAACTTGAATATTGCTGAGTGCGGCGTTAAACAACAAACAAACAAAATTTTCAGACCGCCGTCATACAACTGGAATATTGCTGAGTGCGGCGTAAAACACAAACATACCAACGAACCCGATTATGTTTCTAGGTTTGTCAGCACCATACCCGTGCTCGTGAGTTTCACAATTGACGGGTGGTAAACGTCTGTGACCTACATCACTGGCTACTGTTAAAAGCGGCGTTAAACCCAACTCACTCACTCACTCACTCCACATTTCCGAACATCGAATACCCATTAAAACCCGCAAATATGAAATTAACAATTACAATTAACTCCATAATTTAATAATATAACTTGATGTCGGTGAAGATATACGTCTCCCAGCCTGTGGCTGATGATACGTCTGTAGTGTTGATAGGGGTAGTGAATAGTTCACACTCATTGTCGGCTCTGTTGAAGCTGAGGCTGAAGCATCTGTTGCGGATGACGCACTCCGTGACGCAGAAGGCCCCAGAGACGTCAGAGTAGGCCTTCAGTAGAAAACCGCCTTGATATCTCACACCGTCCATCCTCTCTATGTCAGGGGGTCCCGTACAGTTGTCATACTCTGAATATAGAAGGGTATGTTCATGTTGGAAATGGGAACGAGTAAATTGGGTTTAAAGACAGCCAAAGGCGACTATGCTTGTCGTAGGAGGCGACTAACGGGATCGGGTGGTCAGGCTCGCTGACTTGGTTGATGCATGTCATCGATCCCAATTGCGTGGAACGATGCTCTAGATATCAATCAGTGGATTGTCTGATCCAGTCTCGATTATTCACAGACCGCCGTCATATAGCTGGAATATTAATATTGCTGAGTGCGGAGTTAAATAACAAAAAAAGACATATAAATAGTGTCATTAAAAAGTATGTCCTGAAATATGTTGGTAAAATATTTCATTCCAGTTTCGGGACATTTATGGCCTTCAGAGAACTCCAGCGAAATAATCCAGCCTGGACCAGACAATCCTGTGATTGATATCATCAACATCGATCCAAGCAATTGGTTGCTTGATTGCTTTGTTGCTTAACGCCACACTCAGCAATATGCCCCGCAATTGGGACCGATGACACGATGACATGCATCAACCAAGTCAGCGAGCCTGACCACCCGATCCCGTTAGTCGCCTCTTACGACAAGCATAATCGCCTAAATCATGCAGATCTCACAGGTTCATCTGCCAGGTCGTGATTCATCGTACGTTTTTTCAGCAGTATCACATCTTTTTTTTTATTGGACTTAAGTGCCCGAATATCATACCCGGCGTTCACATTTATTGGCTTGCTATTACCGTCAAGTCGTTGAGTTACATTTGTACCGAGAATTAATGTATATAAATCGATGTATGACTACATGTGAGGTTGTTAACTCAATGATGTATCTCCGTGGACGCTATTCCATGTTTATATATACCTCCACACACAACACAACAACGGGATATCCTGATCTAAGAAGCTCCTTATCAGCATCGATTTCGCGGTGTTGTTCATATTGAGAGCTGTGTTATCGCTATGCCTCTACGTGTTAGTATTGACATAACAGAGGGTATTCGACACTATTTCATTTCAAAGTGGTGTTGGTATCCTGTTGATTACAAAGTAGACCCAATGATAGGAAGGTGAGGTGTTTTGCTGCATGTTTTGCTTGACAACGCTATGAGGTCTATACCGAAATGTCGTTATGACAGCATAATAAAGAAGTGGTTATCCTTAAAGTATGCCTTCATTGTCATCCGTCAACTTCTAAGGAATGCCTATCAAGCAATTCATCCCGCTGATCGTGTGTTTGACTGCACATCAATACGATTGAAAGGATGAGACGCATTATGATCAAGGTATTGTTATTTGTGTGTACAAATGCTTGTACAATTGTTAAGTCATATATCAGATTTGATTGATTGATTGTTGGTTAACGCCGCACTCAGCAAAATTCCAGCTATATGACGGCTCATATATCAGATCCGGGGTAGAATAGGTCTTCAGCAACCCATGCTTGCCGTAAAAGGTGGCTATGCTTGTTGTAAAATGCGGCTAACGGGGTCGGGGGGACAGGCTCGCTGAGTTGTTGATGCATGTCATCGATCCCAATTGTGTGGAGACTCGTGATATGTTTATTAATCAGGATGAAATAGTGATACCAGGTGTTCGCGAATAAGTGAAGTGTCCTTCCCTTTCGGCAGCACCTGTCATAAACACATGCGAAGGCAAGTCAATTGTTCACCTGACAAAACGTATCAACAGTATTTCGGCCATGTAGCGCATCGTCGCGTGAAGATTCCGGGGTAGAATAGGCCTTCAGCAACCCAAGCTTGCCGTAAAAGGTGACTATGCTTGTTGTAAAAGGTGACTAACGGGATCGGGTGGTCAGGCTCGCTGACTTGGTTGATACATGCCATCCATCCCAATCGCGTGGATTGATGCTCATGATATTAATCATTTGATTGTCAGGTCAAGACTCGATTATTTACAGACAGCCGTAATATAGCTGCAATATTGCCGAGTGCGGCGTTAAAAAACACACACAAAAAACAACATTTATTTTTGTTGAACGCCGCCCTCAGCAATATTCCAGTTATATGAAGACGATCTGTAAATAATCGAGTCTGGACCTGACGATCCAATGACTGACATCATGAGCATCACGAGCCACGATCAGACAATCGAGGGATTGGCATGAGGATTCTCAATACAGAGAACTGAGAGACGATGTCATGCAATTAACAAGTCAGCGACTTGGATACCTGTTCCCGTATAGGTTGCTGTGGACCAATAATTCTTATGTGGAGTCCCCTCGCGTATCCTAATAACCGAAGGAACTAGGGGTACATGCTTAGTTCTTGTTTGTTTTAATCCGGAGAAATATTCCTGATCTCGCACAGCAGGTCGTGAATAATCAAGTCTTGGTTACACCACTGGTTGATAACCGGGGACCTACATAGCCCATAGGGTGAGACAATCATGGGATATCGGTGACCAATCAATCCCGCAGGGTGTGACAAGCATGGGATACCGGGGACCTATTAAGCCCACAGGGTGTGACAAGCGTGGGATACCGGGGACCTATTAAGCCCACAGGTTGTGACAAGATTGGGATATTGGCGACCTATTATTCCCGCAGGGTGTGACAAGCATGGGATACTGGGAACCATTTTAAGCCCTCAGGTTATGACAAGCGTGGGATATCAGCGACCTATTAATCCCGCATGGTGTGACAAGCGTGGGCTACCGGGAGCCTATCTAGCCCACAGGGTGTGACAAGCGTGGGGTATCGGCGACCTATTAATCCCGCATGGTGTGACAAGCATGGGATACCGGGCACCTTTCAAGCCCACATGGTGTGACAAGCATGGGATAATTGGAACCAATTAAGCCCACAGGGTGTGACAAGCATGGGATACCGGACACCTATTAAGCCCACAGCTTGTGACAAGCATGGGATATCGGCGACCTATTAATCCCGCAGGGTGGGACAAGCATGGGCTACGGGGGACCTATTAAGCCCACAGGGTGTGACAAGCATTTGATACTGGGCACCTATTAAGCCAACAGGGTGTGACAAGCGAGGGGTATCGTCGACCTATTAATCCCGCAGGGTGGGAGAAGCATGGGCTTCTGGGGACCTATTAAGCCCACAGGGTGTGACAAGCATGGGAAACCGGGCACCTATTAAGCCCACAGGGTGTGACAAACATGGGTTATGAGGGACCTATTAATCCCGCAGGGTGTGACAAGCATGGGATAATGGGAACCATTAGCCTCAGGGCTAACAGGGTGTGACAAGCATGGGATACCGGACACCTATTAAGCCTACAGCTTGTGACAAGCATGGAATATCGGCGACCGATGATCCCGCAGGGTGGGACAAGCATGGGCTACGGGGGACCTTTTAAGCCCACAGGGTGTGGCAAGCATTTGATACTGGGCACCTATTAAGCCAACAGGGTGTGACAAGCGAGGGGTATCGTCGACCTATTAATCCCGCAGGGTGTGACAAGCATGGGATACCAGGCACCTATAAGCCCACAGGGCGTGACAAGCATGGGCTACTGGGGACCTATTAAGCCCACAGGTTGCGACAAGATTGGGATATTGGCGACCTATTATTCCCGCAGGGTGTGACAAGCATGGGATACTGGGAACCTATTAAGCCCACAGGTTATGACAAGTGTGGGATATCAGCGACCTATTAATCCCGCAGGGTGTGACAAGCGTGGGCTACCGGTAACCTATCAAGCCCACAGGGTGTGACAAGCGTGGGGTATCGGCGACCTATTAATCCCGCAGGGTGTGACAAGCGTGGGCTACCGGTAACCTATCAAGCCCACAGGGTGTGACAAGCGTGGGGTATCGGCGACCTATTAATCCCGCATGGCGTGACAAGCATGGGATACCGGGCACCTTTTAAGCCCACAGGGTGTGACAAACATTGGCTACTGGGGACCTATTAAGCCCACAGGGTGTGACAAGCATGGGAAACCGGGCACCTATTAAGCCCACAGGGTGTGACAAACATGGGTTATGAGGGACCTATTAATCCCACAGGGTGTGACAAGGATGGGATAATGGGAACCATTAGCCTCAGGGCTAACAGGGTGTGACAAGCATGGGATACCGGACACCTATTAAGCCCACAGCTTGTGACAAGCATGGAATATCGGCGACCTATGATCCCGCAGGGTGGGACAAGCATGGGCTACGGGGGACCTTTTAAGCCCACAGGGTGTGGCAAGCATTTGATACTGGGCACCTATTAAGCCAACAGGGTGTGACAAGCGAGGGGTATCGTCGACCTATTAATCCCGCAGGGTGTGACAAGCATGGGATACCAGGCACCTATAAGCCCACAGGGCGTGACAAGCATGGGCTACTGGGGACCTATTAAGCCCACAGGGTGTGACAAGCATGGGAAACCGGGCACCTATTAAGCCCACAAGGTGTGACAAGGATGGGCTACTGCGGACCTATTTATCCCGCAGGGTGTGAGAAGCATGGGATACCGGGAAACTATTAAGCTCACAGGGTGTGACAAGCATAGGATCCTTAGGAGCTTTCATCATTAACCAAACAGGGTGTGACACGCATGGGCTACCGGGGACATATTAAGCTGACAGGGTGTGACAAGCATGGGCTACCGGGGACCTATTAAGCTCACAGGGTGTGACAAGCATGGGATACCGTGGACCGATTAAGCTCACAGGGTGTGACAAGCGTGGGATACTTGGGACCTATTAAGCCCACAGCGCGTGACAAGCATGGGCTACTGCGGACCTATTAAGTCGACAGGGTGTGACAAGCATGGGATATCGGCGACTTATTAAGCTCACAGGGTGTGACAAGCATTGGATACCGGGAACCTATTAACCCCACAGGTTTTGTCAAGCATGTGATACCGGGGACCTATTAAACCCACAGGGTGTGACAAGCATGGGATACCGGGCACCTATTAAGCCCACATGGTGTGGCAAGCATGGGCTACTGCGGACCTATTAAGTCGACAGGGTGTGACAAGCATGGGATATCGGCGACTTATTAATCCCGCAGGGTGTGACAAGCATGGGATACCGGGAACCTATTAACCCCACAGGTTGTGACAAGCATGGGATACCGGGGACCTATTAAGCCCACAGGGTGTGACAAGCATGGGCTACCGGGCACCTATCAAGGCCACAGGTTGTGACAAGTATGGGCTACCGGGCAACTATTTAGTCCACAGGGTGTGACAAGCATAGGCTACTAGCAACCTATTAAGGCCACAGGTTGTGACAAGCATGGGCTACCGGGGACCTATTAAGCTCACAGGGTGTGACAAGCATGGGATACCGTGGTCCTATTAAGCTCACAGGTTGTGACAAGCGTGGGATACCTGGGACCTATTAAGTCGACAGGGTGTGACAAGCATGGGCTACTGCGGACCTATTAAGTCGACAGGGTGTGACAAGCATGGGATATCGGCGACTTATTAATCACGCAGGATGTGACAAGCATTGGATACTGGGAACCTATTAACCCCACAGGTTTTGTCAAGCATGTGATACCGGGGACCTATTAAACCCACAGGGTGTGACAAGCATGGGAAACCGGGCACCTATTAAGCCCACATGGTGTGGCAAGCATGGGCTACTGCGGACCTATTAAGTCGACAGGGTGTGACAAGCATGAGATCTCGGCGACTTATTAATCCCGCAGGGTGTGATAAGCATTGGATACCGGGAACCTATTAACACCACAGGTTGTGACAAGCATGGGATACCGGGGACGTATTAAGCCCACAGGGTGTGACAAGTATGGGATACTGGGGACCTATTAAGCCAACAGGATGTGACAAGCTTAGGCTACTAGCGACCTATTAAGGCCACAGGGGGTGACAAGCATGGGCTACCGGGGACCTATTCAGCTCACTGGGTGTGACAAGCATGGGCTACCGGGGACCTATTAAGCTCACAGGGTGTGACAAGCATGTTGTACCGGTTACCTAGTGCGGTGTGAAAATCATTTGAGACAGGGGACCTTCTTATCCCTTAAACCAACAGGGTGTGAACAGCTGCGTGTTGTGGCTCAACTTACCAAAAATCCATTTAGCGCTTGGGGCGTTCACAGTTAAACTGTCGACACCGGGAATAATGTGAGCAGTATCAACGTAGAGAATGTCTGCGTCCTTCACCTCGCCCCGACCAATTTTGAAATGCCCATCTTCCCAAGAGGTCCAAAACTGACGATAGCCAGTGCAGTTTAAGACCGGCCCAAAGACGTCTACAGTTGCCCCAAATGCATAGAATCGGCTTTTAGTGTCGAACCATCCCCCGAGTAACATTCTGTACATCACTTGTTCACGGAAGTACAGTCTGATGTTGAAGTCCATACACGCCATGATTTTGTACGTGATCCAGTCCTTGCCACGAATATCAAAGCCGAAGTTCATGGGGTTGACAACGTATCTTTGTGTGTTGAACGTTATCGAGCAGACTGGAAGGAAAGAGAAAGCGTTGGTGAGTCATTCTCCAAGATATGTATCGTCGTAGATTGGAGATATAATACCCTTGGTAATGGAGTATGAGTTAGCGACTGGGAGTTGAAGCCGTGGTCATCACAACTTTTGTTTTGTTTGTTTGTTGTTTAACGCCGCACACAGCAATATTCCAGCTATATGACGGCGGTCTGTAAATAATCGAGTCTGGGCCAGACAATCCTGTGATTGACATCATGAGCATTGAGCCACGCAAGTTGTATACCATTACATGCATCAACCAAGTCAGCGAGCCTGACCACCCGATCCCGTTTGTCGCCTCTTACGACAAGCAAAATTAGAGAATTGTATATACAAAGATGCACATATAGAGGTAGTTTCATCTTATAAGTACCTCGGAATATTGTTTACCAGGACTAGAATCTACATCTGTTAAAGCTATGGAAGTGTTAATGTTAATGTCGATGTTGATGTGTTACAACTGACTGCATTTGCGTTCAAATTGGGGCTTCAGTTCGCCTACACCATAATTCACCTACGCCTCTATTCGCATCCACAAAAAAGTATACTCTGAATTATTGACCCCTATTTGAAAACGGGCACTTCCAGTGCTATATTTTTTATGCATTACCCCTTTTGGTTTGAAATCGCGAACAACTTTGTCATACATATTTAAATAATTTACATATGCTAATTAGCGTGTTGTAAGATGTCCAATCGACCCGTGAAGATTCCGGGGTAGAATAGGTCTTCAGCAACCCATAATTGCCGTAAAAGGCGACTATGCTTGTCGTAAAAGGCAACTGACGGGATCGGGTGGTCAGGCTCGCTGACTTGGTTGATACACGTCATCGATCCCAATTGAGTGGATCGATGCTCATGCTGTCAATCACTGGATTGTCTGGTCCAGACTAAATTATTTACAGACCGCCGTCACATAGCTGGATGCGGCGTTAAACAACAAACAAACAAACAAACAAACAAACAAACAAACAATGATGTCCAATCCAACCACTTGCACTGTTGCAACTAGAATATTAAAATATGCTTAGTAAGAGAGATCCTTATGAGTCATAAACAATCACCCATTTACGAATTCGATCGTTTATTATTTGTGTCGATTGCACTTTATTTAACGTTAGAGCACGATACATACCTCCCATGGTAACACACAACGACAGCGCCACCGGTAGGAACACACACTTCATTTGGATCTGCTCGTTAACTGAAATGTTATACGGAATTGATTTGTGAATAACGTCAACAGAGAATGAGTTAGAAATTGCTTTGCGCCCTAATGTACAATACTCAACACTATCACATCGGACTCGTAAAGATCCGGGGTAGAATAGGACTTCGGCAACCCATGCTTGCTGTAAAAGGCGACTATGCTTGTCGTAAGAGGCAAGCCTTTGAGTTTTCCTTCTTCAATCGACAAATATTTTTCATTGAAATCAGGACATACTCTGGTGACATTGGTTATATGTCAAGGAAATAAAACAATTCTGAATTTTTGTAAAACATTTCGTAACAAGATTTGAGGGAGGTATGCCAGACAGATATACCGTCTGTCCGTTAGCAGTATTTAAACCTTCAAATGTACTTAATATAGCTTGTTAACAATTCTACCAAATACTAAAATATCTAAGAAAATGAAATAAACACTTTCATACAGTGAAATTTGAATTTGAATTTGAATTTGAATTTGTTACCATGATTGTTTCTGTTAGGATTCGGTAGACGCTCACTGCATTGTATTTGGGCAGTGACTAGTCGTCAGGAAGTTACTATATTTAGATGCTAGTGTGTTGTGTAGAAGTTTCCAGTAGTTAGTTGGAAAAGAGTGTGTTTAGGCATCTTTAACACTTTTCATCACATCAAGACCTGCTTTCATGTGAGGATCACTCATCATTCCCGATTCTCTGCCTAGACCGTTCCGGAAACTTGACCACTTTCGCCGCTGGGTGAATATATATATTATTTTCAGACTTTGGCTATCATCACTGTAGTTTTGTATTTGATACTGGCCACTGCCATCATATTATGTCTTGCCATTGAATATTGTTCTACTGTGTAGTGCCATTGTCAATGCTGTGCAGTAATTTGTACTGATATGTAAACCTAGTGAATTTTGTAATGCATTTGTTACTTGTTTACCATTGGTTGATTGTTTGTTGGTTTCACAATATATAAGTTCGTTACGTACATTTCTGGGTTAACATATTATTTCAATTTGGGTATCGACACGTAACAATTTTCTGCCACGTGTCAGCTTGATGTGGACCACACCAGTGCTCGTGGTGTTCACCAAAGCGGTAAACGTCTAAGATTTAGGCGTTTACCGCCTTGTAGAAAACAACGAGCGTGGGTTTGGACCACATCAAGCTGATATGGTGCTGACAAACCTGGAAACGTAATCACAGCGAAGCGGGATTCGGACCCACGATCACAGGTTACTGGCATGCTGACGAAACACCATGAAGAGAACTATTCTTGAAAGTTCACATATCTAATGAAATAAGATATCACAACAGTGTCTCCACTTTGACAAATGTTAATTATCAAGTAATAGATTGATTGTCATATTTAGAACAAAGCTAAATCGTGGAAAACAAACAAGCTGATCTACCTGATTGCTGTTTACCTCTCAGTCAACGGGTAGATACTAGTAATCCTACAGCTTCCTGATCGTCGGTACTGAGAAGGCTGATTCAACGAACACTATTAACTGCATCTAACGAGCGCGCACATTATCGCTGAAGTCTCGCCTATGAAAGGGACGCTTCATTATTTCATCGATCGATCGCAACGGCAAACCATGTGATATAGAACATGGGACAAGAGGCACTGTGTTATGTTTTGGTTTTGGTTCGATTTGTTGTTTAACGCCGCACTCAGCAATATTACAGCTATATGACGGCGCTCTGTAAATAATCGAGTCTGGACCAGACAATCCAGTGATTGATATCATGAGCATCGATCCACGCAATTGGGATCGATGACATGCATCAACCAAGTCAGCGAGCCTGACCACCCGATCCCGTTAGTCGCCTATTACGACAAGCATAGTCACCTTTTACGGCAAGCATTGGTTGCTGAAGACCTAGTCTACCCCGGAATCTTCACGGGTCTGTGTTTTGTAGCTCATGTGCATATTCAAACTAACTTTATATAACATGACCTTACAAACTGCCCCCTCGGATTATAAAGCATGTTGTATAAATGATGATGAAGTGACAACTATACAGTCTGATGTTGGTTGGCTGGTTGGTTTGTTGTTTAACGCCGCACTCAGCAATATGACAGCTAAATGACGGCGGTCTGTAAATAATCGAGTCTGGACCAGACAATCCAGTGATTAATATCATGAGTATCGATCCACGCAATGGGGATCGATGGCATGCATCAACCAAGCCAGCGAGCCTGACCACCCGATCCCGTTAGTCACATAGACAAGTATGGGTTGCTGAAGACCTATTCTATCCTGGAATGTTCACGGGTCCGGTCTGATGTGAAGACCTGGGTTCTGTAGTTCACCTGCGTGGTCAGAGTGAGTGAAAATTTCAGTTATATAACGGCGTGTCAGCTTGACTTTGGAGGAAAGCCCGAAGTGATGCAGGTTGTAGACGTTTACCACTTTGATGAAACCCACCAGCACGGGTATGGCGCTCATATACCTAAAAACCTAATCAAGGCGAGCCGGGATTCGAACCCACGATCATGGCTTTCTGGTGCGCCAAACGAACGACGCACCTCTCCACAGTGAATGGTAAGACACGTAAAACAAAATGAAAAACACATAAGTAAACATGCATCAGGCATAAATGTTGTACGAATGAGGGGGGTTACAAATAAAGGGTTTAATATAAATTTTAACAATGCCTGTTGAAATAATTATGACGGCGGTCTTTAAATAATCGAGTCTGGAGCAGACAATCCAGTCATTGATATCATGGGCATCGATCTACGTGATTGGGATACGATGACATTCATCAAACAAGTCAGAGAACCTGACCGCTCCTTCCCGTTAGTTGCCTCTTGCCGACTTATACGGTTGCCCATAAGGGACACGGAGTCTTTTTTCAAGATTTTGATATTTCACTTACTTTTATCGTAACCTTTTGCAAACTAACAATATTTGTCATACAAATATGTGATAAATCATGTATACAAACAACCGAAAACATGAAAAAGGTACTTTCAAGCAGCTATTGAATGGATGAAATGTGAAGCGAAAATGTCAAAAACTAAAATGTAAATGTCCAAAACAAAAACGAAAAGGCCAAAAACTAAAATGAAAATGTCAAAAGCAAAAACGAAAATGTCAAAAACAAAAGCGAAAATGTACGGTGGCCCATAAGGGACACGGATACTGTTTTTCAATATTTTGATATTTCACTTACTGTTATCGTAACCTTTTGCTAATTAACACGATTTTCCACACAAATATGTGATAAATCATGTATAAAGCAACCCATGCTTGCCGTGAAAGGTGTCTATGCTTGTCGTAAAATGTGACTAACGGGATCGGGTGGTCAGGCTCGCTGACTTGGTTGAAGCATGTTATTGATCCCAATTGCGCAGATCGATGCTCATGATATAAATCACTGGATTGTCTGGTTCAGACTCAATTATTTACAGACCGCCGTCATATAGCTGAAATATTGCTGAGTGCGGCGTTAAACAACACACCAAACCAAACCAAAAGACTTTCAAAAATTAGGGTTGACAGCCTTGGCGTATGTTGCGAAGCTCAAACATTTCTGTGATAGCCCGCCTTCGGATAACACAGAGCATACACCTCCAAGTACAACCATCTCGGAAGATTTGCAAGCTGCGTCCCATGTACGGGAAAGAAGGAAGAAATTGCTAGACATGCTGAGAAGAAATAAGAGGTCAAGTAGAACAAATCCAGAGACGACAGCGGGCAGACTTAAAAAGAGCACAAGAACCATTAATATTGGTATGCGAGTTCTTAATGAACGAAAACGCGACAAAGATGGCTGGAGAATAGCTAAATCAATCAAAGCCCCACTTGGAGACAAGAACTGTATTGTTATGGAATTTTCACTGGATTCAACATATGAAACATTGAAGACTAAAATAGAGACGGCGCTGTTTGTGAACGGAAATAATTCCGTTCTCGGAAATGCTACTGACTATGATTTAGAGGTCGTCAATGGAAGGAATGAAAATCTTAATGACACTCTATCCTGCAGTTTTAATTTAGGAAACTATATTGAGGGAAATAAGGATCCTGGGAGCCATTCGCTTCTACCTTCTTTGCAGTCCACGGAGACTAGTCAGTGACACTGATGGCAACAGTGGTGAGTATCATACATCACGGTTTAACAGTATCGCATACAAGATCGTTTGACGCGTTGATTGTAATTGATTTTGTTGCATATTTGTTAAATTACGTTCCAGATTCAGACACAATACTTCCAGAATTTGACCTTGGAACTCCAAGTAGGGAAGTTTTGCTTCATCGAAGGACTCGAAACCGATCAATCACCTCACCTTCAGCAAGTCAATCAAACAGATCATCGACCTCAACTACGGTATATCCTTCCACCACGACTTCGTTTTTAGAGTTACCCCTTGTCACAACATCGTCAACGTTTCACGTCTCAGCCTCCGGTGAATCTTCTGACCATGCCATCCTCCACAGTACACCCATCAACCGACACCTCACAAAATACCGCTGATCATCTGACCGCTTCACAGGAAATAAACTGTCCTTCTGTTCCAATGACAGCAATAGCAGGATACAACATGCAGTGGTAAGTATGAAACATTATCGAAGCTTATAGTCAAACTGTTTTGGGGATAATATTACTCTTATCTTAACAAAGTGACGGCAGCCCACTTATTGGGACAAAACATATTATAACCCGCTACAACGAAGTAGGCAGGGGTTCCTGAAACGGCGTCCGTCTGTCTGCCCGTCCGTCTGCCCGTCCCGAAATTGTTTCCGGTGCATAACTCAGAAACCGTTAAATATTTCCAAACGAACCTTTGCATGCCTATCAGGCTCATGCTCAACTGGTGCTTTTGCTTTTGATGAATTTTATAGATTCTTATGTTTGACGTTTCTGTGACAACAGGTTGGACTTAAGTTGGTTAATTGGGCTAAAGGTAATGTTTGGCTAGTTTTCCCCGTGGAACAGACATTTATAAGAAACCTGACGTTTGACGTTTCTGTGACAACAGGTTGGACTTAAGTTGGTTTATTGGGCTAAAGGGAATGTTTGGCTAGTTTTCCCCGTGGAACAGACATTTATGAGAAGCCTCACCGTGTACAAACTCATTTTTGTTTCCCTTCTTATCAATAATTTCTGCCTAAATCTGGTGCATAACAATAGGCCAAAACAATAAATATGATTGTAACTGAACGGAGAAAACTACACGATAGGGGCGATAACGGTTTAGATTTATATATACGCAAATATTGAATTTCATGTTTTGATATTGTTTTTTTAATACAGGTGAATAATGCCAATATTCTGGACGAACTGCAGGCTGCTGCTGAAGAGATGAGCAGCTTCCTTGAAGTGGCCGGATGCAGTATAATCCTTCAGGATATGAAGGACAAGGAGAGACTCGTCCGTGCGTGTGTACAGTTCTACATGGTAGATCGAGTTCAGTCATGTATGACAATGTAAGTGAAAGTATAATCTAATGTTTGCTCAATTCATTTATTTAATACCACCCTCATGAAAATAAACATACCTTCATCTTATAGAATCTTAATACATTCTCGTTGGAAAATAAAATATATGTAAGTGTGCTTTGTACAGGTATTATGCATTTGAATTTTGAAATGTCATGGTTTCAGACTACACATTGACAGTTATAACAGTATACTTTAGAGTTTTGCGAGTGAAATTTGGAAAAAGAATTAAAAAACATACTGGAAACATGACAATAACATCTTTATACATATGTGAATAAGCATCTTCACAAAAAGGGATTAAACGTTTCCAAGTCTGTCATTGTTTAAATTTTATGTTTGCTGAAAGTAATAATGCTGCAAATGTATACTCATTAGGATTAGCGGAGAAAATAATGCGAAATGAATTTAATGCTCAACATTTAACGTTTTCAGATTCTTTGAAGGTCTTTCGACACTTGGTGTCCTCGAAACAATGAGAAAACAGCCATCTTTCTGCAGTGATCTGTTCTGCAAATCCGTGGGTAATCTTGGCTTGGACACCGTCACGGAATCGTTTAAGCCTGTTCTGAACCCTGAAGGTACAAACAGAAGACGAAAAGAAGTGTCCACATTGGCATATTGGAATGACTACCTGAGCGACGTTAAAGGTATTCAAATGAAATGAAACTTGGTATTTTTCATAAAGATTTTGATAGGTAACATACAAACGAGCCTTATAATGCATTTTTTTAGGTTTTAGTGGTAATGTATGATTTGATATCCCTGAAGGGAGTCATTACATTTTTATCTGCAATTGGTCTTTTGTTTGTTTATTTAGCACAGTGCAGGCACATATGCAAAACTGTAGTTTTAGATTAATAAATAATAAAATATGCCTGTTTATGGGTGTGATTTCAGAGGGGGAATCAAGACTGCAATTCTCCCACATATTGATGTTCGCCACTGGATCTGAATCCATACTACCTTGTGGATTTGATACAAACCCACGACTTGAGTTTCCGCCAGATTCACCAAACATGAGATATCCAACGGCCAATACCTGCAGCTGCATTTTAAGATTGCCTGTTACCTATGATGAATAC